ACTCTGTGATGTAGAGACTAGTATTAGGCACATTTCACAGGGGAGGAAACTGAGGCACAGAGAGCATAGTAAGCACCCTGCCCACAGCCATATGGCTAAGTGGTGGAGCTTGCCTGTAAACCCAGGTAAGTCAGCATAATCTCCAGGGTGTGGATTAAAATGATGGCTAAATTTACCATGTGCCAGGTTCTCTATTCAGACTTGCCCATTTATCTGGAGCACGAGCCCTGTACTCCAGAGCCAGGCTACCTGGATTCTTATCCAGGCTCTGCTGATTCCTGGATGCATGACTTGGATAAAGAGTTAACCTCATTTGTAAAGGGGGAGAAAGATCAAATCTAGCTTATGGAATCATGAGGATAAAAAATTAACAATATAAAGTCTTGAATAGTACCAGACCATGGTAATAGCTAAAGTGTTATTATTATTAATCCTCAAAAATAACACTATAGAGATCGTTATACCCATTTTATGGATGAGGCTCTATGGTAGAAGAGGAACAGTCTCTTGCCTGAATACACAGAGCTGGAATTCAGATCCACAACTCCTTGGATTTACCAGAATCCCAAACATATGCTTTTTTTAAAATATGTTATCCATTTATTCATGAGAGACACAGAGAGAGAGAGAGAGAGAGAGGCAGAGACACAGGCAGAGGGAGAAGCAGGCTCCATGCAGGGAGCCCGATGCGGGACTCGATCTCGGGACTCTAGGAGCACACCCTGGGCCAAAGGCAGGCACTAAACTGCTGAGCCACCCAGGGATCCCCACCAAACACATGCTATTAACCTCAAGTATGTGTTTGGTGGTGGTTACGGTGGGGGAACCCACCTACCCCCTCCTCTACAGCCACGGGACACCCTCTGCCCTGCCCAGAATAATCTCAGCCTCTAGGCCTCTGTGCTAAAATAAAAGGAGAATTCAAAGAATTCTTCAAACCTTCTTCCCCAGTGTGAGCCTTCAGAAGTCCCCAAAGCTTGTGTGTGTGTGTTGGGGTGACAATGGGGGCGAGCCAGTCTGGGAAAGCTGGACAGTCTTCCAAAAGCCCTAACTATAAACAGGATCCAGTCAGCCCACACTCTCCAGCGCTCCTCCTCAGGAAGGACCTCAGGCAGGCCCCCAGCAGCTGCCTCCACAAATATATAAACACATAAATCCTGTGGCAGAGCTGGCAAGGCCACAGAAGGGAGGGCAGATACTAAGACCAGAGGAAGGGAAGAGAGCCCAACGTCTGACCTTGCCAGGGTGGAGTGAGGAGTTGGGGCTCCACCAATGACCACTCGGGTGGCTCCCAGAGGTCCAAGGACTGGACAGGGACGAAGGGGCCTGCCGAGCAGACAGACTAGTAGGTCCCAGCAACCCAGGATTCTGTGAGAGGTGGCAAGAGGGGGCTGAGGGGTGGCCTGAAGGGCAGGGGGGCAAGGGCTGTCCCTCCATGCCCATGAGCAGTGGGTCGGACCCACAGATTTCTGGCAGATACTACGAGGCCAACTGAGTCTCCCCATGGTTCTAGCACTAGACTTCATTCTTGGCTGTGGGGGTAGGTCACACACCCCTCCTTGTCAACCCCTCTCTCCTCCTGGCCAAGGAGACACCCCACATGTGTGAAAGTGCTAGGAAAGAGTCCCGAGCATTCTCCGAGTGTTGGCACTCTTGGCTCCAGCCAGGAGGGCAGCTGTAGGGAGGGGGAAGGAAGATACTAACCATGGACGGGGGGGGGGGGGGGAGGCAGGAGAGCCAGCTGACAGGGTGTGGAGCCAAGAGCCCCACATTCTCCACAGCCAACACCCCACTGTCCACGTGGTTCTTGTTAGGCTCTTTAGCAGCAAAATAGCAACAAGCAAACAGCATCAGGCCCAGCTAATTAGCACACAGCCCTTCAGTGGCCAAGCCAACATCAAGTGGGGAAGGCTAATGCCCACTGGCAATTCCTCCGGGAGAGCTGCCAGCCTGCGTGCCAGGGTAGGGGGGGGGGATGACCCGGGGAAAAGCAGGGCAAGAGGACCGGGAGAGAAATACGGGGGCTGAGGACTCCCAGGCTGGAGTGGGATTTGGCAGCACACTGGAGCATTCCCAGGCTGGGGCATGGGGGTACACACACACACACAACACACAGAGCACCCTGGAGCATCCCCAGGCTGGGGCACAAGGGTACACACACACACACACACACACACACACACACGTTGGTTCTGACAGTATGCAGATTCACCCAACCTTGAGTTTCCAGTGTCAAAACCTCAGTTTGGCAGAGACTAACATGGGGAGAACCATGAATGATGAGTTAGGAAATCAAGAACCTCCAGGGCCCCAGGGCCCGAGGGCCGGGAGCCAGGTCCTTGCCCAGAGCCCTGCAGCTGGTGAGGAGCCCACCCCCTCTGAAGCCCACCGTGGTCCAGCTTCAATTCAAATCTCAGCCACCCTCTCTGCCAAGTTCACTGAAACATACCACCCTCCTCCCCATCTCCAACCCCCATTCCGTCCCCAGGCCTCCAGAGTGCCCCAAGGCTACTCAAAGTGTGGTCCCTGAACCAGCAGCAGCAGCCACCTCTGAGGGCTTGTTAGAAACTCGGACTCTCCTGTCCCACCCCAGACCTGCTGAATCCAAATCTGTGCTTTAAATTAGACCCCAGAGGAGTCGTGGGAACACCCAGATTTGAGATAGGGCCCCCAAAGCAGATCTTCCTATGACTGACCAAACTCTGCTCAGTAGCTCTGCTCTTTAGCGCTGGCTGGAATTGCCTGCTGGGCTTCAAAAATATACCAGGGCCCAGGCTCCAGCTCCCAACTTCAGGGCTTCTCTGAGCACGAAACCACTTGGCTACCCACAAGCCTGGCTTCTCTGCCCAGGAGAACTGTTGATTTTGAGTCTTTGATCCCCCTCCAGTGAGTTTGTGACCGTAAGCAAGCCACTCGAGGCACACTGTCTTCATCTTTATCATTTTGAAGGTAAGTGTCTTTCCCTCATCTCTGCCACCAGCCACAGAGGGCCTGTCCTCTGAGAGCCCAACTAATCCAGGCTCCCTGAAAAGGAAAGAATTTTCAGGGGGAAAGATCTGCTTTGCTGTATGTTTCTGGGTTTAGGGTTTTGGTTTTTCTACCTTGGAGACCCTTAGAGAGACCCAAGATTCTGCTTTAGTTTCACCGTCAGGCATGGGAGAGGGTCAGGGCCATGGGGTTTGAAGCAGAACCAAGAGCTTGGTGAGTCAGCATCTCCATCTCCACAGAAACAGAAGCATCCCCATCTTGTCCCCATCTCATCCCCATTGCAGGAGGTGTCAGAATCAGAGCTGAGGGCGTCCATCAGGGTTGGGAGCACCACAGGTTTCGTCATATATCCAGACCATTAGCTGTGAAACCCTCACATTGGCTAGGGCCTGGGGCTTGTCGTTGGGCAGGAAGGGGTTCTGGTGAGACCAGTCCTCACAGCCAGGCAGGAGTCTTCATAGCCCGGCAGAAGGTAGCAGCAGGGGCGGTCAGGCGGGGCTCCTGGGCCAGCCATAAAGGTCTAGGGAGCTGACGAGGGCTCAGGAGGGGAGCCCTGGAGTGTGAAGGAGAAAGAGCCAATATCTCTTTTCACCTGTGAGGATTCCAAATTCTAGAAGGCCCTGGCTCACCCAGGGTTGGGAGCGAACAAACCCTCACAGGGAAGAGTATGGGATTCAGAAATAAAAATGCCTGATCCAGCCCCAGCTCCAGGGCTTAGAGTACTGTTAACTTGGCCATGTTTCCTAATCAACCCAAGACACAGCTTCCTTGTCTGTAAGTGGGAATGATTACTAAATACCCACTCTGTAGGATTACTGAGAGGCTTGATGATGTACATGAAGAGCTTAGCACAGTGGTGGGCACAGAGCAAATGCTCAGCTGTCAACTACTAGTAGTAGCAGTAATGGTAGTAGTGGTAATGGTAGGAGTAACCATTCCTAGGTCACAGGTGTAGAAAGTGAGCCCCGGAAAGATAAGGTAAGAGATCTGGCAGCAGGGTATAGTGATTAAGAAGAGGGACCCTGGGGACACCTGGGTGGCTCAGCGGTTTGGTACCTGCCTTTGGCCCAGGGCATGATCCTGGGGTCCTGGGACAAGTCCTACATCGGGCTCCCTGCATGGAGCCTGCTTCTCTCTCTGCCTGTGTCTCTGCCTCTCTCTCTGTGTCTCTCATGAATAAATAAATAAAATCTTTTTTTAAAAAAAGAAGAGGGATCCTGGAGTCAGATGACCTGGGTTCAAATCCTACCATTTCCAGGCCATGTGACCTATCTGTGCCTCAGTTTCCTTCTTTGCCAAATGGATAGTGGTACTCCCTGCCCCATAGGCCATGTAAAGTGGACTTTGCATAAAATGAGTGCTGCATAGGCATTGGCTGTTGTTGTCACTGCATCTGCCCCGTGAGTGGAGGCTTGGGCATGGAGGCCCTGGCTCTTCCTGTCTCCTGCTCCTTGGTTTCCACATAACTAAGATGACTACTCTCTCTTTTCTCTCGCCTGGGCCAGGCTGCCAGCTTCAGAGTGGTCTAAAGGAAGACTGCTCCAGACATGGGATCAGAGCCTCCTCTGATAGCCTCATCCTGGCAGGATGCCTGACAGAGGCCAGGACCAGCGGGGCCAGCGGCCAAGGCAGAGGTGCAATCCCACAGCACACAATGTGAATGGTGCCCCTAGCAATGTGCGATGCAGAGGTTCTGGAGCCAGGCATGTTCTGCAGACTACAGGTGTGTGTGGGCACCCAAGGGACCCTATGGACTGGGCAAGTGGGACACCGACATGGTTGGGCAGCAGGAGGGGAATGCAGGAAGCTTTGAAAACATGAGTGGGGACTTTTATTTGAGAGTTGTTTTCAGCTGGAGGCCTTTTTGAAACCCTCTCCTATCCACTACCTGTTACCTCCATTCTGGAGAGGCAGACTGGGGAAGACACCTCTGCTCCAGGTCCCTGAGTCCCTGGGCCTGGCCAACCTCAAAGGAGAGAGGGTGAGAAGGGTGGATGGGCAGAGGCACTCACGTTTGATACAGTGGTTGGTGCTGTTTGCTGTTGTCCATCCTGGGCAGCACTGTCCCCCGCAGACATTCCTCCTGTGGGGTCAGCAAAATGGGGTCAACACAAGGGTACTCAGAGTGGTACAATTTCCAGAGCTCCTTTGAGGGTCCCACCCTCTACAGGCAGAGCCCAGGGGAACCCTGCCGGACTGGCCAGACCGTCCTCCTTCTCTAGGGAGTCCATGTGGCCCAGGGGCAAGCACATTATGATCCCGTAGATCTAATCTTGAGTCCTGACTGTCATTCTCTGAGTGATCTTGGGAAACTTCTCTCTGCATCAGTATGATGAGGTAATAATTCCTAATTGGGTTATTCTCATGATTGAATGAGAGACAGAATATCTAACACAAAGAAGGCCCTCCCTGGGACAATTAATGACAGTGATCATATAAATGAGAAAAACGTTAAGTTCAGAGAGTTTCAGTGACTTGTCGAGGCTCAGCAATGAGCAAGTGCCAAAGCCAGATTCAAACCTGAGTTTGCCCACCTCTAAGTCATGGTCCAACCCTACACTGCCTCTCACCAAAAAATAAGCACCCATGGTCCTTGGCCCAACAAAAGCTGGCTCTCTAAGGGAAGCTAGAAAACACACATAAAACAGCCTTAAGATATGCATCACCTGCCAGCAAATGCACACTGCAGGAGCCTTGGCCCTTGGGCAAGCTGGTGTGTGGTGCAGGCGGAGACAGAGAGACTTGGGGTGAGAATTTCTATTTAAGAGGGGCTTAACCAAATTATGCAAAGAGCCAAGATGTCCATTGACAGATGAATGGATAAAGAAGATGTGAGATATAAATACACACAATGGAATATTACTCAGCTGTCAGAAAGGATGAATACTTACCATTTACACTGATGTGGATGGAACCAGAGGGTATTATGCTGAGCAAAGTAGGCCAATTAGAGAAAGACAATGATCACATGGTTTTACTCATATGTGGAATATAAGAAACAGCGCAGAGGATCATAGGGAAGGGAGGGAAAACTGAAGGGGAAGTCATCAGAGAGAGAGAAAAACCATGAGAGACTCTTAACTCTGGGAAACAAACTGGGGGTTGCTGGGCGGGGGGAATGGAGTAATTAAGGAGGGCATGTGATAGGATGAGCCCCAGGCATGATATGCAACTGATGAATTACTGATCTCTACAACTGAAACTAATAAGGTACTATATGTTAGCTAATTGAATTTAAGTTTTAAAAATCCTTAATAATTCTAAATTTTAAAAAAAGAGAGGCTTGAGGTGATGAGCTGCTAAGAAGATGAAACTGGGGACTTGGGTTAAGCTGCCTCTGCATAGTGCACACACTCCTTCTGTTTGGGCAGGGAACTTACTTTATGGGGGCTAGTCCTTCCCCAGCTACTCCTTGGTGCCTGCACTGAGGGCCCCCACAGGAGATGCTGGTCTGTAGTAACTGCTGGGGTACTCACCCAATTCACCCAGACTTCACTCACAGGTATGTGGTGAGGCCCCTGTAGCACCAGCAGCTTTCACCAGCCTCGACTCTCCATCTAAAGCCCCAAATCTCTGGACCTGGATAACTTCTTTAGAAGTCTGGAGAAGGGCCTTCTGAGGGCCAGGGCCTGGGCCTGACCCTAGCTTTTTGTGGATCCCATTATTACCATCAGAGATTGTCTACTTGAGCACTCACTGAAACAGGGCAAGTGGGGCAGCAAAATATGAGCCGGAGGAGCAAAGTGCAGGACAGAGAAGGGGGCCCTTCCTGTAACCTCTGTGGACAGCAGAGTGAGCATCTGGTCTTGTTTACTAGTTCATTTGACATTTGAGTGGACCCCAAAGCTTGTGTGGTTTCTGGAGCCTGACAAAACATTCAAAATAAATTCCTGCAGCTTGGAAAAGCCGAAGCTCATTTTTAGTTCCGTGGCCCAAAGTTGCGGGGAGCTGCCTCCCAGGGAGCTCCCAGAATGTCCTCCCAGCCAAAAGCTGTGCCATCCTGGCCACCTCGAAGCTTCTCTGGACGGCTGCCTTCTGCAGCTTCCTAGCTCTCATCAGGACCCAAGTCACTGGCTTCTGAGCCTCATACCCAGGCTTTCTGAGGGTACACGCCAGTGGAAGGGGTGGGCTTACAAGCCCTTGGGGGTACTGACGAGTCCTGTTATAGGCCTATGAGGTCTTCAAAAGGAATCAGACTGCATGCATGCCCTGAGAGTTTTCTAAGAACTAGGGTCTGTTTGTGCCCAGATAGAACAGACTGAGGGGCCCTCTCGGCTGGGAGGTCATGGCATGGATCCCAGCCTCAGGAGGCCTCCTAAACCAGCTGTCACCCCAGATGCCCTCAGGACAGCTAACTATAGGAAGCGGCAGTGAGCCCTGCCCCACTGCCCTATGGTGGCAGAGTCTCAGGGCTCTCGGGAACATAGTGAGGCCTGGTCAGAGTCAAAGGCTGCCAGGAAGGAGCAGCCAGGCTGGGGCTGGAGGGAGCACTCAAGAGATTCAGGTACCCAAGGTGGAGAGAACTCTGAGAGTTTGTTCTAGGCCCCTATTAGAATCTTGGGCAGATTCTAATCTGCCCAGGGAAGTGGGAGATGACCATCAGCAGGCTCTAGCTAACTAGAGAGAGCAGCTAAGTCTGACTAGCTGAGATATATATGACTCAATGCTTCTGACTTCTTGGAAGGTACCACCATGAGATCAGAGGAGCCCAACCTTCCAGGTGACATCTCTCAGCAAACATCAGCTCAGGATCCAGCATCGTGGTCCAAACCTTGGCACATCTGGCTAACAGCCTGGAACAGCTGCTGGTCCACCTAAGACCAATGTGATCATACTGGCCCTTCATTAAAAATCTTCCACAACTCTCTGTTGGCCTCTATGAAGCTGGCCAGGCCCCCACCTGCCCGTGCAGTCTAACTGTCCCCATCACCTGTCCTCTGTCTCCATGACCTTCCACAACCTTCCTCCAACGCTATAAAATTTGTAGTCTTGCAATGGCACCACATAGGGTCCCATTTTGATGCTTTGCTTAAACTGCTCTCTGCCTTTCCTCTCTTTGCCAATTGAAATCCTTTCCTCTCTTTGCCAGTTGAAATCCTTTGCATACTCCAAGACTCCCAGATCAGATGTTACCGCCTTGGTGTAAACCTCCCCTGATATATGCTCAGCCTTCCCCATTCCCCATCCACTGCAATCATTTAGTACTGATTGTCTCAGGTCATTGGTCTTATGTGGCCCCATCTTGACTATATTGAGAATTCTTTCTTATCCTTCTTTGGGTCTAACACGATGCCTGACACGTGATATACATTTAATACTTCTTTGTTTCACTTAATCCACTGTTTCCCAAATAATGGATGAGCCACACCCAGGTTAGGAAAGGAAGTTTTAGGTTTCCACAACCATAGCATTCAACAATGCGACTCATGTGGTGAGAAAGTTATCCGCTTTTCAGTTACCTTTCTAGCCTGATTAGATCAGTTAAAAAAAAAAAAATCTGAGGTTGGGTCTCCATGCCAGGTCCTTCCCCCAACACTTGCTAGTCTCTCTTTTCAATAGGAATAACACACCAGAGGGTTGAGCTTCCTAAGATAGTGGTGTCTGAATAGAATTTGAGAACATTTTCTTTTCATTTCAATTTTCCTACAATTACCTTCTTTTTATGACAAGTGGTACTATTTTCAACTATGATAGTGATACAAAGTGTCCTTGAAAAATGAATTTATTTGTGGAAAAATGAGCCAGTACTGTTTGCAATAGCAAAAAAAAAAAAAAAGTAAGTCATCTAAATGTTCAAAAACAGGAAAGTGGACAAACTGTGGCATATTCAGACAATGGCATAATATACCACAGTTAAAATGAATAAACATGGGCTGATTATATTAACATGGCTAAACTCAAAAATCTAAGGAGGAGGGGAGAAAGCAAACTGTTGGAAGCTGATACAGTATGGTATCACTTATCTGAGTTTAAAATATGCAAAACAATATTGTGTATTTTATGGAGGCATGCATCTGTAGTAACAGTGCAAAAACATACATTGGAATCATGAGTAAATCCAGGGTAGTGGTTAATTCTGGGGAGAGAGAGACACATTTTTAGGGGAGTTTTCAACTAAAAATATCAAAAGCAAAATATGCCCAAATATTAAGGTCTGAAAAATCTGAATGTTCGTTAGTTATATTATTTCCAATACCTTTTTGTATGTTTGTACAAACCCTTATGATATAAAATACTTTGACAGATAAAATACAAAATCATGCTATTTTAACAGTGTGTAAATTTAAAGAAAAATAATAGAACAAGAGGGAAAAGATCAAGGAAAAATTTTATGAAAGTATTAGCCTATGAGGCTATTTCAAGAAACACTGAATATTGTGAAACCATGGCTTAAAAAGTCCCCTATTGACCATAAATTCCATTAGTGCAGGATCTGTGTCTGCTGTGGTTACGATGTTCCCACACACTAGCACTGTGCCTGGCACATGGTTAATATATCTTGTGTGCAAATAAATCCCCACTACATGCACGTTGTGTGAGGACACGGGCTGTGTTGGCCTCTGCGGTATCTCCAAGGTCCAGCACGAGTGCCTGGCATACAGGAGGCTTTTCAAGTATTTGTTGAATGAATGAAGAATCCCCCGTAGTAGTAATGCAGTTCCAAGCTTCACCAGCAGGTGGCACTTGGTCTTTGGCCCTGAGGAACCCACTAGGCAATTGCCAGAGAGGTCAGCCTGGCCAGAAGCCATTAGCCAGAATGGGCCTGCGGAGAGGAAGCAGATGGACAAGATTGCTACTCAGCTGACTTGGAGTGGTTGGGTGCACGGCCAGAGGAACCCACCCTTCATCAAAGCTGCAGCAAAGAATCTGGGGGAGGAGCCAACCCCAGCATGTGATTCCATGTGTGCACCTGTGTATGACAGGTGCCTATGGGTAGCCCCCAGCCCATATCCTTACACACCTGTGCACATATACCAGCTTTATTTTGGTGACAATCTGCTTTGTATATCCCTGCCTCATTTCACAACTTCCACTCTCAACCTCCACTATTTTACCTTCCCCCAACTTCCACCTAAATGCCAATGATATAAGCTCCTCCATGATCTGGCCCAACCTATGCCTCCAGCCTCACTCCTATGGCTTCCCTGCACCAGGGTGTCATCCTGCCCCCAGGCCAGTGGCAACAGTGAAAAGCCCTCATCCTTGGGCAGTGCTACACCTCTGGGCCCCACTCCTGCCACCTCCCCTCTGCTTCTCCGCATACTGCCCATCAAGCCCCAGGGACTCGGGCTCCTCTGAGCTCCTCAGCCATAATTGTCCCCCCACTCCTTTATGCTTAATATGAAGCTTCCGTTACTAGTAAGCACATTCACTGGCACATATCTGTTCATCTCTCCAACTCTATTTTAAGTGAGTTGCATTCCCGGCAGGAACAATGCCTTTGTTTTCGAGCCCTCATCCCCTGTCTCAGGCTCTGCACACTTACTCTTAAGAAGCATGTATTCACTTGCACACGTCAGGAAAGGAAAAAAGCTGACACGTGGCTGGTGCTCCATTAACACTTGCTGACTGATCCTGTGTGTAAGGGACTTGGCAGTGCATGGGTCTACTCTCTGCCTGCTTTAAGCTGGGCCTTCCTGGGGCGGCAGGGAGTTCATTTGCTCATTCAACAGATACTTAAGGATCATCTACTGTAGGCAGGCACTGTTCTAGGCACCAGTAACGTAGTAATAAAACAAAGCCTCTGATTTCCTAGAATTGACATTAGTGTGGGCAGGGAGACCAGACCCAAAATGCAGAAACAGGTAAAGCACGTGAAGGGAGAGAGGGTGGGGCAGGAGTAGTCAGAGCCGACCTGTCTGAGCAGAGATCTGAATGAAGGGAGGCAATCCTGCTGAAACAGAAAGAGTTCAACAGCCCAGGAAAACCTGGAGTGGAAGGCCGCGAGGCGTGCGGTCCTCCAGTGTAGATCTGCGGGTGCAAGTGTCCTTGCTGCCCACTGGGACTCAACTCAACTGGGGAATTGGGCCCAGGCCATAAGGGGCTGCCAGAGCCCTTCCCAGCCTCTCCGATCCTGCCCTCCTCCAGCCCCGCACTGCCCGGGGCTCCCGTGCCCGCCATTCTGGAGACACCTGGCAAACTCCCGCAAGGAAAAGTGCCCCTGGGGATGGGGTTGCCCGGGAGCCTCCCGACGCTGCGAGGGCGCCCCCAGCGGGCGGCAGGGGTGCCGGGATGAGGGGGAAAAAAGCAAATCGCAGGGTTGGGTGAGACAGCCCTGCAGGTTGAGCGCGTCGCGCGGACACCGAGCTGCACAGGAGCACGCACAGACCCCCTCTCCCGCGTACCCACTGTGCCGCGGCCCCAGCGCAGGCAGGCTTCCCGCCCGAAGTGCCCTGGAGCGCACGCCCCCTCCCACGTCCCGCCACGCGCGGGCCCAGGCCGACCTGCGTCCCAGCTCAGACACTTGTAGCCAAGCTGGAGCTTCGCCGCCAGCCCCGTTCCCGGAGATGCATCTGCCTTGGCGCTCGGGAGCCCCGACGTCCTCCGCCTACCTGCGCTCTGGGCGCGCTCAACCGCTCTGGGGCCTCAGGCGCCTGGGACGCCCACCCCGCTGCCCCCTCGGGGCTCCCCTCGGATGCCCGCCGCGCTGCGGGTCTGCCGCACCGTTAGCGGTTAGCGGAGGCCAGGGAATGCACGGGCGCCTTGGGAAAGGATTTAACGTCAGGTCTCAGCGAGCCGGTCCGAAAGCGTGACGACAGTGTTTCTCTCTGCCCTCAACTCTCCGGAAATCGGTCAGATCTCCGAGCCTGAGCCTGGGGACCCCGGGGCTTTCCCTTGCAGTCCTGAGGCCGGGGGGTCGGGGAGGGGGACCAAGGGCACGAGCCGGGGGCCCTCTCCTCTCGCCTGCGCATCGCTCCTCTAATGAGCACATGGAAACCCGCCCTCGCTCCCCCCGACCCCACGCTTCCCTCTGCAGTGCTCACCCCGTCAGCCGCCCTCGCGGCGGGGTTGGGGGCGCAGCCCCGGGCCGCTGGAGGGTTCCGAGGCGCGGGAGAGCCGGGGCGACCCGCGCGCGGGCTGCGGACTGCTGCTGGCCCGCGGGGCTGCTCCTCCAGGTCTGCGCAGGTGGCTGGGCTCGCCGCGGCTGCTGCGCGCGGGGCGGCCTCCTGGCCAGCGCGTCGGCGGGCCTCCGGGGGCTCCCCCAGCCCGGCTGGGCCCGCTCCGTGGGCGGCAAGCCCGGCACTGGCGCGTCCTGCTCTCGGAACAGACTGTACACCTTGGCTGCAGACGCTGCGGGGTGACTGCCCCCGGGGCGGCGCAGCCGATTCGCGTCCCTGCCAGCCAGCTCGTATCTTCCCACCGGGTCCCTCTGAGCATGGCCCATGCCCACGAAGAGAGCCAGGGTGAGGGCCAGGAGGCTCCCACAGGGGTTCCGCGGGGCGCGCCCGGGGCAGCGGTGGGTGGTCGGGGGCCTCATGGCGCCGGGGGCCACTGGGGAGCGGCGAGCGGGGGGAACTGCCCCGGGGGCTTGCGGCGGCTGCGCTGCGCTCCCCCGGCGGCGGCGGGCTCCTCGGGGTCTAGGGGCTCCGAGCCAGCCTTCCCGGGGCGAGGGCTGCGCGCCCCGAGCTGGGTCCGCTCCTCTCCAGCCAGGCGCGCACCGCCGCAGCACCTTCGCGCCGTCTCCCCGTCTCTGCAGCCCTCCGAAGGGGAGTCGGACGCTTTTATTTTTGGAAACCTCCCCCTGTTTTTCGTCTCTTTTATCTACACCGTGCCCCCTCCTCGGAGGGACAGCTCAGCCCCCTCATTACGGGAGAGGGAGAGAGGAATTCCAGCAACACCCACTTTGGCACCGGGAAGCGAGCGGGCGGCGAGGGGGGTTAACCCGTGAGGAGCTGGGGGCAGCGCCGGGCCGCCCCGACGGCTGGCAGGGGAGACGGCGCCTGCCGGGACAGGGGCCCCTGGTCCCCTTTCTCTCGTCCTGCTCAAGCTCGAACTGCGGACCCGTCCCGCGTCTATCTCCTGCCCCTGCCCTCTGGAACGGACTCGCGGCCGGATGACCCAGGCTGCGGCCTCGAGGGTCTGAAGGAGGCCAGGAGAGGTGCTGAGATCCGCCTGACCCAGCCGGGCCTCGCGGCGCCCGCGCCCGGCCCCTCCGCTTCCCGCCCCGGCCACAGGGGGCGCCCGCCCCGGGGTCGGCTAGCGCGGGGCAGAGCCGGGAGGCGCGGGGAGCCCGGCTCCCTCCGGCCGGGGCCGGGCGCGTGAGCGCTGCAAGGTCGCCTGGGGGCTCGCGCCCTCTAGTGGAGCCGCCTGCGTCCTCGGCCACCTCGCAGCCGCTGCCCGCTGCCCGCCGCCCTCGCTCCTAGATCTTAATCCTTTTCCTGTTGCGTCAGGGGTCCAGGCTGGGCCTGAGGCGGTGATGGCGGATCCTGGAAGAGATAGCATCTTTTTAGCAGAGGTATAGCCATGGAGGATCTTGAATAAGGCCACACCAGGAAACAGCGTGTGTCCCCAAAGGGGATGAAATCCGGGCCTCCTGCTTCCAGCTCTCTCGGAAGCCCATTCTCTGGACTCCCTCGGGGAATTTCTCCAAGGGGTGGGAGGGGTGGGAGGGACTCCGGGAGTCTCTGATTGACCTGCTGTGTGTGCTCACACCCAGTACTGGCAGCGAGAGGGGCAGGGGTGCGAGAATGCTGATTGCCACCCATCCCAGTACCTCCAACAATGAGCTCATCATTCACACCATGGCCCCTTGCCCTAAAGCCTGAAGGCCTGGCACCCCTGCTGTCCCCAGTGCATTTCTGCAGCCTACTGTTTCCTAGAAAGGAAGAGTGACAGCAGGCAGGAAGGCACCAGTGGATAACTTCCCACACCACCAAAGGGTGGGCATAGTTAATACCCGACCCTGACCAACAAAGCCCTGGCGTGACTAGGCCCCCTCTCTGATCTATCTCCCCTCTTGCTCTGGCACTCACCACCTGCAGCCTCCTCGCTGCTCCTTGAACAAGCCAAGTTAATGCCCACTTCCCTCTCCCTGCAACACTTATCTCCAAGATGTTTTCCAGAATGAGCTCTTCATCACTTCACCTCTCAACTCAAATATCATTCACCTCCTGGAGTGGCCATCCCTGAGCCTCCAATCCAGAGCAGTCCTCCCACTTATAGCACAACACCCTGCTTTACCTTTGTTGCCCCAGTGCCTAGTTGAAAGCATATTTTTAAATTGCTTACCTGTGTATCTGACTTATTGAATGGACTGAATTGAAAGGGGACTATCAGGAAAGAGCTACATTTTTCATTCCTCACTGCCCTCAGCCATATTACGGTGAATTTCCCTTCTCCACCTTTGATGACCTCTTGAGTGGAGTCCTTGGCTTGCCCATCCCCACTGGCCACGAGAATAGTCTCATTTCTGTAATTAAGAGCAATTTTTAGGCACTAAAAATTCTAGTCCTGTCCAAATCAAAACTTCATCCAGTTTAATTAATCTTGCAACCAATTTAACACTCTTCCCCCTCCCCCATAGGCCTATCCCCTGGCCCAAGATCCTGTAGTGGAGAGGGTAGAACATAGTCTGCTTTTCTTTCCTTTTTTCTTTTCTTTCCTTTCCTTTTTCCTTCCTTCCTTCCTTCATTTCCTTTCTTCTTCTTCTTCTTCTTCTTCTTCTTCTTCTTTAGATCTACTTGTTTATTTGAGAGAGAGTGTGTGCAGGGGGAGGAGCAGAAAGAGAAGGAGGGTATCTCTAGCAGACCAGTAGCTGAGTGCAGAGCCTGACACAGGGCTTGATCTCAGGATCCTAAGATCATGACCTAAGCCAAAATGAAGAGGTGAACTCAACTGACTGAGCCACCTAGGCGCCTCTCACATGGTCTGTTTTTCTAACCTCCCTTTTCTACTGTGGTTCCCCTGTGTCAGGACTGGGGGAGAGGCATTAGGGGAAACATGGCAAAATCCTATGTGACAGGTGCCCTTGGCTGGTAGGTGCCAAGTGCTTGTTCTTTCATGGGCACATTCATGGGCTTTTGGGAATCTCTCTGTAGGACCTGCACCCTGCACTGCTGTCATAAAGCACTCTCTGGCCGGCTTCTTGCAGATCCCTGTATTACCTGCCTCTTGTGGGACTTACTCGTCCATGCTGGCAAACCAGTGGTGACTTGGCAGCTCCTCGCTCTGCCATAGAAGCCACTCTGGCCAGGATCCACAGTCAGAATTCCCCAGACTGGAGGTCCACACAAGTCTCTTCACTTATGCCCATCCTCGATATCTAAAGATATGTGTTGGGTTCTCTCCAGAACTTCCTTTTTTTTTTTTTTTTCTCCAGAACTTCCTTACTCTGCTCTGGGGCACTGGGGGTGCTTGCAACTTCCAGCAACTCAGCCAGCATCCATGGAAGGAGACTCCATGAGGAGTCATGCTAGTCTCCTCTTCTTGGAAGCCCCCAATCTCTATGATTGGTTCTTTGGGGCTTGGTTTGCACTGATGAGTGCCCCCAGGGGAAATCTCAGCCTTGCCTACTAATGCAACAGTTCCCTACCTCAACAATTTTCTTCAATCCCTTTCATGTATAGACTGGAATTGAGGGATGTGGCGCAAGTGTTGTTGAACCAGTTCTGCCTTTAAGAAAGTGTCTAGTACTTCTCTTCGGAATGTGAGATTATTTAGTCCTTATTGTTCTAGTCTTGGCGGCCTCAGCAGAAATTCAAAGATCACAGAAGAATCCTGTTCAACAACCTATAAAATCATGTCCGACTTCCCAAACCACGGTGATAGCTCTAAAGGAATGGATATCTTGTCTGCCTGGCTCACCACTGTTTCCCCAGAACCTAGAACAGTGCTTGACTCCCAACAGACAACTGAGAAATATGTGTTCAGTGGTTGGCTAGGTAAACGAATGACAGAATGGTTCCATCAAGTAAAAAGGTATCATTAGATCCACTCTAAGAGAGAAAAGCTGAGTTTCTGGAGGTAGTTACTGGTCCAAGTTCATGTGCTTGCTGCCTCCAAGTCTGGTCCTAAGGATCTCCGTGAATCATGTGCCTTGTGTTTTGAAACGAAAGCCATCTGAATTTCCAGAATGTTTGGTTCTCTCCTGGAGACACTGCACCTTCCCAGCTTTGGGAAAGCTTCAGCTCCACACTTACCCCTTGCCCTGTTATCCACCCCACTCTTTAGCTCCAAGTCCCCCTCCTCTGCCCACTACCTGCCCTGTTCCTTCAGGAGCTCTCCTCTTCATCTTTCAACCCTCACCTCAGAGCCCCATGAGCCTCCCAAGGCCAGAAACCTTGGCGTCATCTTCGTCCCTGAGCTATTTTTTCCTCCCATGTGTCCAAGTCATTATTACTGCTCCGTCTCCTCCGTCTGCACTTCTGGAAGTCTGCCGCCCATTCAGCCTCTCACCGCTGGCCTGGGCCAAAACCCTCATGCAGACACACTTCCCTCACCACTAGGCACCCCGCCCACTCCTCTTTGAGTACAAGTGGTCCTTGGAAATTCCCACCCTGTTCTCCCTGGGGCTGCAGCCTGGCTCATATACTCTGAAGACTCTCCTTCTGCCCTACTCCAGGGCCATCCTCCTGTGCTGGCTTCCCCACTTATTGCCCATCCCTCCCTTCCCCTGTAACTGTTGGGACCTGTTGACACAGCTCTTCAGAATCTCCAATCCCATAAACACTTGAGTTTTTTGTTTGTTTTTCTTTTATAAAGCTGCCAAAATTTATGGAGCCTACTATGGTCCAAGCACTGTGCTAAGTGTGCTACATAACTTTAACGAAATAAAGGAGGCATTATGATTTCCACACATACAAAGGAGGAAACTGAGGCTGGGAATAAGCTACTGGCTTGTGGGCAAGTAGTGGATGCGGGACTCAAGCTTTGGTGGTTTTCCAAAGCTTGAGCTCAAGCTTTAAGGCCTGTACCGTGTTGTTTTAACCCTGGGTTGTGCCTCAGCAGCCCTTCTCATAGCTGAAGTGGTACCTTTCCCAGCACCTCTGCTCCTGGCACCACCTGAATTCCGCCACTGCACATTCCCAATGGCCCTTCCCTATCTCAGTTCCCTGGTGATGTGGAGTTATCAGAACCTTCTGCCCCCCTCTACCCTTGCCCAGTAAAAGAAGGAAGAGGGGTCTAACTGTTTCCAGCAGGGCCCCTGACTCACCGTGTGTCACTTCCTCACCCTGATCCCAACTTCCTCCCTAATGAGGTACAAAATGCTGCTAAGCCTACTCACTCATCTCTTGGGTCTGGGGAAGGAAATCATCTCTGGAAAGCCCTGCAGAGAGAGGCGGAAGGGACAGGTAAAAGATTCCTGCAGGAAAGTTTGGCGGACACATGCACGACAAAAGGGAGTAGTGACCTGCTGGACCCCCAGAGCAACCTATTTGCTTTCCCATGTTTTGTTGGAATGATGCTGGCAGCCATATAGCTACCAGAACCTAAACTAATTTAATAAATAAAGACCAAAAAACAAGGAATGAATTTGTGTTCCCTTTGCAGAGACCCAGACTTCCAACAAAATTCCATGGATTTTTCTTCCTTGGAAGTGACTGGACCTCCAGCCCTGAATTCCTCTCCCCAGGAGAGCTTGTTCCCCTGCTCAGAACAAATAACACATTTCCTGGTTAATCAGTGGGCAAAACAGCTGAAGGAAGGTTGATTGGGCCCCTGGCTTTCCAGATTGGAGTGGCTCATGGGCTCAGATGTTCTTGTGCAGATATTAGACAACTGCGTAGCCTCAGCTTCCATGTTGAAAGGTGGGGGCTGTAGGA